TATGAAACATCACTTCTTTTTACATATTTGAAAATTTTCCATAGAACGCAAAGAAACAAATATATAAAAATTTATTCATTCCTTGAAAGGAAAAGAAAGAAAAAATCAAATTAAAGCAAAAAAAAAAAGAAAGAAAGTAAGAAATAAATGAAAAGAAAAAAGAAAGAGAAAATAAAAGAAAGACATAAGACATCATAAGAAACCTTACTACCAAGAGAAGACTAACGTTTATTTATGAAAGAATCTATCAAGATTAAGATAAAACTGGTGAAAGCTCGTGCTCTTACCTTGGACATCTCGAAAGCGTTTGACATGGTTTTGCATACTGCTCTTCTCCACAAGTTGAAAGCCTATGGTATTGCCGAACGAATTTTTTGAACCAATTCAGTCTTTTTTATCTAATCGCGAAATGAGAGTTATCCTGAACGGCCACTCTTCTAGATCTTTTTGTATTAATACAGTTCTTAATTTGTTCTTAATTTTCATCAATGACTTTCCTGATGAAATCAGTTATCAACTTGGTATCTATCCTGATGACACGACCATTTACTCCTGACCCGATAATAAGTCTGATTAGTTCGATGAAAGGTGAAATTGGTAGCTTAAAACAAAACTTTCTCTTAATCATCTGAAAGACCCCTTCTTGCCTTTCATCAGCATGACTGATGGTAACCTCCATAAGAGTGACTCTTTGTGCCTTCTCGGTTTACCATTCTCGGCTGATATGGTGGAAATACTATTGGGTTGGTGCATAATTATCAGGCGGTTTTTTAAATAATATTTATTATGAAAAAAAGGAAAAAACAATTCAACAATAACATTTTTAAATGATTATTCCGGAGCGTATGATTATCGACACGCATTTTTATGAGCTGAAAATAAGATATTTTTATTAAAAAAAGTAAACAAATAACTCGCCTACAAAAACGCCTGATAATTATGCACCAACCCAATTTATTTATCCTATCATAGTCGTTGTTGTTCTTCTTTGTGTCATATACGTTCAGGATTTTTGATTTTGCCCCAACCCCGCGGCCACTCTCACACTGGAATCCCTGTCACACCGATCCAACCTTTTTAGTGCGATGGGGGAATGTTGCTACTGCACTTTGGAATCCCCGGGGCTGAGCAACGTCTCCCATCTAAAATATGAATAATCATATTGGGTTGGTGCATAATTATCAGGCGTTTTTAAACAATATTTTTTGTGAAAAAAAAAAACAACAATAATTCAACAATAACATTTTTAAATGATTATTCCGGAGCATATTATTATCGACACGTATTTTTATAGACCTGAAAATAAAATGATATTTTTTATTAAAAAAAAATAAATAAATAAACAACAACTTTAATTAACAAATAATTTGCCTACAAAAAAAGCCTGATAATTATGCACCAACCCAATATATTAAATCTATTGCTAAAAAAGTTGGTTCAGTGTGTCGTTCGAGACAATTTTTCTCTCCGGAATATATATTGCATATTTATAAGTCTACTATTCGCCCATCCTTTGAATATTGCTGCCACAGATGGTCCGGTTCTCCCGCTGTATATTTAGATATTCTTGACAAAAATCCCAAAACGCAATCGTCAGGCCTGAAAGTTTGCGTTCAAACATGAAACAGACAGTCGCCGCTAGGTGTTGACTCCAGTGTCCACTTTGATATTAATAATATACGCTGATATTGAACTCTTTAACTCATAAATATAACATACTTTAAAATATATTTTAATCATATATATGTGTGTGTGTGTGTGTGTGTGTGTGTGTGTGTGTGTGTGTGTTCTAAAGAATTAATGGATTTTATTTTTAACCTGATATTATTTCATATTATTTTAAACGGCATTTTAGTGGGTACGCCGTTTTAAGTAGACGCCCGATTTTTACCTAAAGAGCTTGAATTGCATAAACAAAAAACAGGATGTGTACTCAAGCAAGCTTATGACCTAACGTAAGATATAGAATGAAATATTATAGGATAAAAAATGAAAATCCGTTTAGAATGAATATGTGTGTGTGTGTGTGTGTGTGTGTGTGTGTGTGTGTGTGTGTGTGTGTGTGTGTGTGTGTGTTTTACACGCTTTGCCTGTAGAGTAGATTTTAGCATCAACTATCAAGACCTAACAGGTCATCAGCATTTTAACATGAGCACGCTGAGATTGAAACAAATTTTTACTGCTGATGACTTTCCGTCCTTTCAATATTCACTGACGTCAAAATGAACTCTATGGTTATTTTTACTACATTTCGCTAACACACACACATGCACACAAATATATATATATATATATATATATAATTATTTATTTAAAAATATGATTCCAAATCGCTACATAAGAGGTCTCATGTTTCAAAACAAGAGCCGAAAACTTCAATATAATCCTTTAAATTAAATTGAGTTGAAATTAAAAGGACTTTGGATTATTAACCTAACCAGTTCCTTCCTATTTTCTATATATTTTCACACACACACATATATATATATATATATATATATATATATATATATATATATATATATATATATATATATATATATATGAGCAGTTGGGTACAGAAAAGTTTTTGCCCTGACTAAGAAACCCTTGCCTTCTCAAAATTAGTATAATTAGATTTTGGAAAGCAGTTGGAGCTGCTGAGAACTTTTAGGCCCTCTTTCTTATTCATTTATGTAATTGTCATTCACTTTTGTCAAGTCTGACAATAAGAGTAACAGCTTTTTAGTGTTACTCTAGGGGAAAGAGCACAACTTAGTCTAGTAGTCTGATTAGTGAGATTTTGATGGCTTTGAAGATATTTAAATTAATAGAAATGTTCTATAGTTTCAAATTATTATTACTATTATTATTATTATCATTATTGTTGTTGTTACTGTTATTATTATTATTAAAGGTTTATGCCATATCCGTGTCAATATATTTCACACCTTTAAAATATCCTTTACATAGTAGTTTTAGTTTAATAAAAGATTTTGCTAATTTTGCTTAACGCGGTTACGTGAATCCGTGGTTGACGATCCGCTGATGTTGACCAAGCAAAAAGATAATAATGGTATGTGTTTTATCCGAACTGATTTCCTTGTCCCTCGTTGCTTCAGCCTTTTCGCAACTTTTCAGCCGTAAATTTCGGCTTTTATAAAGTGCCTGGTATATCTTGAAATGTTGTTGACTCTTATTCTTAGACAGCGTACACATCGCCTCTCGTTCATGTTATGTCCAGACAAGAATCAGATCATTTTAAAGCAACTCACCCCAAGAAAGGCGGGAGTGCCACTAGCACGCAAGAGGTTACAGAGGATTGAAAGCAAGAGTAAAAAGGTGTGTTTGAGGAAAGGATACAAAGAACAGGGAACAAGATCAAGGTATCAGAAGATGTCGATTGACATTACACTTGAATATTTGAAGATTATAGTCATCAGGGAAGCAAGTATGGGGAAGGGAGTTCCACAGACGGGAAGTGTGGGAGAAGAAACTGTTTGAGTAGAAGAGACGATTACATTTAACCATTTTGACAGTGAAAGGGTGGGACTTAGATCCCAGCCTAGTAGCTAGCTTAAATTCATGCAGTCCGGAAAGCAGCGAAAGTAGCTCGTCGGAACAGTTGCCGTGTAAATACTTGTAGAAGAGATACATTCACTTACGGGCTGATACCCTTGGAAAAGGTATGAATCCTCCTCTTTTCCCCTCAGCTATGGGTAAATAGTAGGACAGACCGGGTTCTATAGCCTTTGATGGCAACTGGTCTACCGCAGAAAGAAATGGCAACCTACTGCGGAAAAAATCTGCCTCGTTCAGGTTTCGCCTAAGCAGGTATCACGCATGCACATAACTGTATGTATATATATATATATATATATATATATATATATATATATATATATATATATATATATATATTGAAGCAATTCTCTATATATATATATTGAAGCAATTCACCCCAACCAAGGCGGGTGTGCCACTAGCAAGGGGTTACAGAGGATTGAGAACAAGTGTAAAGAGGCATGTTTGAAGAAAAGATACAGAGAAGGATGGGGAACAAGCTTAAGGTGTCAGATGTCGATTGACATTGCAGTTGAATATTTGAAGATTATAGTCATCGGGAAAGCAAGTAAGGGGAAGGGAGTCTCACAGACGGGAAGTGCGGGAGAAGAAGCTGTTTGAGTAGAAGAGACGGTTACATTGAACCGTTTTGACAGTGAAAGTCTAGTAGCTCGCTTAAATTCATGCAGTCTGGGAACCAGCGAAAGTGGCTCGTCGGAACAGTTGCTGTGAAAATTCTTGCAGAAGTGACAAAGGGAAGCCATGACACGTCTGTGAGAAAGCAACTGTAGGAACTATTACATTGCATATTCGTCTCTGGGTTTTGTCGAGGACCTCGAGACGTACAGCGGGGGCACCTGGCCATTCATGAGAGGAATATTCCATGAAAGGATGGATGGTTGATTTATAGATTTAAAGAATGGATTCAGACGAGGAAAACTTACCTGGTACGACATAAAGAACCAACTTTATGACTTTGCACAAAGTATTCCCTACTAAATGGTGGTTGGATGCTTTCGTTTGGTTTGGGTTGGTTTTTTCAAGGTTATTTAATGCTGAATAAACAATAGACAGGTAGATATATGTCGGGTTTGTATGAAGGTCAAAAGGTAGACTTGGGTAAAATTCTGGACGTTTTCCTGTGGAAAAGTTTTCGACGATCTCTTGAATTTAGTTTTCATGGGATTAATTATTTTTCTACGGCTTATCAACCATTTGCAGGTTATTTAAAGCCAGAAAATATTTTTAGATTCTAAGAATTATTTTGGGGGGATAATAATGATTTAGTGGTACATGTTTTACTAATCAACCCCTAGCTGGAGGGAGAAGAGGTGGATTCATATCTTTCCCAAGGGTATGTGCGCGTAAGTGATTGTAACGAACCCAACATGAATTGAAACTCGGCTCTCCGATTAACAATTCCGATTCCATTACACCACCCGCACATCCAAGCTTAGAGTACCTGGTATTCCCAAACAGTCACCCATCTAGGTACTGACCAGGGTCGACGTTGTTTAACTTCGGTGATTGTATGGGAACCAATATTTCAACGTGATGTGGCCGTAAACCGGTTTTCATTACAGAATGTTTTCCCCCCCATCAAGGGTTTTGCAGCTTTTGGCGGAAGATCAGATGCATTTGTCGGATCGAGCAGAACAGACCAACCGACTTCCAAAAATTTTTGCTGTGTTATTCTTGCTGCATGCGGCATTGTCATGTAAGAGAACATCTTTCCTTGAATCCACAGTGTACGCTGCCACTGCTGGGAAAAAATTTAATCTTTCTGATCACATAATATTTATCGCGCTCTCTGAGTGCTGCAATATTGCTACCTTGTACCAGACTATGTTAATTAAATATTAATGCTAATTACTCTCTCTCTCTTTCTTTCTCTCTCTCTCTTTCTTTCTTTACCCTCTGCTTCTCTCTTTCCCCTTTCTTTGCTTCTCCGTTTCTTTCCCTACGCATATCTTTTAATGTCTCTCTTTCCCAAAAACCCACACGCATTTTTATCTGTTTTATATAGCCAATCGTCTCTTATTATAATACTGTCACCTTTCTTTCTTTCTTTCTTTCTTTTTTTTTTTCGACTTCTCTTCGAATGACTTCGTATGAATTAAATGTTTCTGTCTTCTTTCTTTTCTTTCTTTCTTTCTTTCTAATTATCTTCATATTCTTTGATTTTTTTGTTTTCGTCCTCTCTCTCTCTCCCCCCTATCTCTCTCTCTCTCTCTTTTTCTTTCTCTCATTCTCTTGCCTACTTCTCTTCATATTTGTTAATCATTTCTGCTGCCTGCTATTCTTTCTTCCTTTCTTTCTTTGTCTATCCATATTCTTTTATTTTTTTTCGGTTTTCTTTTTCACTCTCTCTCTCTCTCTGTCTCTCTCTCTCTCACACACACACACACACAGACACACACACTCTCACTCTCTCTTTTTTCTACTTCTCTTCAGATTTTTTAAAATTATTTCCATTACCTTTCTGTAATTTTTCTTTCTTTTCTATTCATATTTTCTATTTATCGTTTTTTTTTTTTTTCTTTCTCAGTTTCTCTCTCTCTCTCTATTTCTCTATCTCACTCTCTCTATTTCTCTCTCTTGTCTACTTCTCTTCATACTTTTTAATCATTTCGATTTTCTTTTCTAGCCATATTCTTTTACTTTTCTCTTTTATTTTTCTTTCTCTCTCTCTCTCTATTTTTCATCTTTTTTTATCATTTCAGTTTTCTTTCTTTCTTTCTTTCTTTCTTTCGCTCATACATCTTCTTTTTCTCTTTCTCATTCACTTTGTATATCACATATTCTCCATCGATCTATTTCTTTTAGTTCACCCAGTCTCTTGCCTCAATATCCTTACCTCGTTTTAATTCTGCCACCATACACTCTATCAGAGACATTACACCCACTCTCACTCTGTAAACATGTCCAGCTTTCTCTTTCATTCTCATTGCTTTCCCCCTCTCTCTCTCTCTCTCTCTCACACACACACACACACACACACACACACACTCTCTCTCTCTCTTTCTCTCTCTCTCTCTCATACTATTCAATTTTTCAGTATTTCTCTCCCTATTTCTCACACACAAAAACTCATAAAAACCCGGCAATCCAATATATCTACTTGATTATGCACGCGGATACATCCGGGCAACATCATTAAGACTCTAAGGCATGTTGGTGAGAAGTCGACAATTAGCAGCAGATTTTCCGATGCCGCCATTTCAGATACACAACACGTTTTCGGTACTGGCGAAACCTCAACACGGCCCAAATTGGCGTCGCTAATATCATTGACAAACACCTTTTTAAAGATCTGACCTGACTGATACCGAGCCGCTTCTTCGGCCTTACGTATGGACGTGAGCTACATGCAGAAGGGAGTTAACTCGGGTTGGATAAATGCGCTGTAAATAGCGAAGTAGATGGCGCTGGAGTGGTTGTGGCTTCATTGTGACGCACCAAGATGGCTGCATCAGATTTGAACGGAATAAACAAAAAAAAATCAATGAAAAATTCTACGGTACTAATGTTAGAAATGAAAGTTGAAAAATATCAAACTCTGTTCAAGAAAAATTGTTGATTTATTTATTATTGTATTTTCATTTAATACAAAAAATCTTTATATGTGTAAGTTGATATCGTTTAATAGATCTTATACAATGGCCTTTAGAAAGGCATGAAACCATTCCTTCATGCGCTTTGGTTCAACGCCAGATATATTAGAAAAATAACACGTTACTCTCATCTTTTTTTTTTTTTTTTCGGGGAAAAGAGACATTGGTTGACTATTTGAACGGAAAAGGGAGACATTGGTTGACTATTTGAATGGAAAAGGGAGACATTGGGTGACTATTTGAACGGAAAAGGGAGACATTGGGTGACTATTTGAACGGAAAAGGGAGACATTGGGTGACTATTTGAACGGAAAAGGGAGACATTGAGAGACAATTTGAGCGGAAAAGGGAGACATTGGGTGACTATTTGAACGGAAAATGAGACATTGGTTGACTATTTGAACGGAAAAGGGAGACATTGGTTGTCTATTTGAACGGAAAAGGGAGACATTGGTTGTCTATTTGAACGGAAAAGGGAGACATTGGGTGACTATTTGAACGGAAAAGGAGACATTGGGTGACTATTTGAGCGGAAAAGGGAGACATTGGGTGACTATTTGAACGTAGAAAGGAAACGCTGAGATTTTATTTGGACAGAGAAAGACATTATTTATACGAGAAAGAAGACGTTGGGAGACTATTTAGATGGAGACGGGAGGCGTTGTGAGATTGTTTGGAAAGAAAAGAGAGACTTTGATAAACTATTTGGACGGGAAAAGGAGACGTTGAGAAAGTATATTCTGTTGTTTGAATTATTATTAAGAAGGCATTATTCAAATGGGCAGGCGTATCTATAAACAACGTATTTATAAACAAACATTCAACATGCGTTGTCGAAGTTTTTACTTTTGTTGTTATTGCTGTTGTTGCATCATTAATTGCTATCATATTGGTTTTTAGGTTTTGTAATAATGATCTTGTTTCTTTTTGTCGTTTAGTTATATGTATCTATATGTCTATTTCTACGTATCTATATGTATCTATCAATTAATATGTATCTATCAATTTCTATGTATCTATCAATTTCTATGTGTCTATATGTATATATCTATCTATTTCTATGTATCTATATGTATCTATCTCTTTTATATGTATCTATATACATCTATGTATCTATTTTATGTATCTCTATATATATCTATTTCTATGTATCTATATGTATCTATTTTCTATCTATCTATCTATCTATATATATATATATATATATATATATCTATTTCTATGTATCTATATGTATCTATCTATTTCTGTGTATCTATATACATCTATCTATTTCTATGTATCTATATATATCTATTTATATGTATCTATACGTATCTATCTATTTCTATGTATCTATATACATCTATGCATCTATTTCTATGTATATATATATATATATATATATATATATATATATATATATATATCTATGTATCTATTATATTCTTATTTCTATATTTCTATATGAATTTTTGGGATGAGGAGTTATTATTATTTACACTATTTATATTCGGACTATTCTCCTCATCTTTGTTGTTGTTATCACAACATACCGGGGTAGATTGTGTCGGGCAATGTGTACTTAGACTTAGTGGAAACGGGCGAGAAATTACTGAGCAGTACTATTAATAAGAACTAGATGATATCCCTGTTTATGGGCAGTGTAACGAGAAAAGTCTACCCCCGTAGATTAAATAAAACGTTCTGTTTAGAATTCCCTGTAGATTTCCCACTTCGATATACACCTGAGGAAGGCTGGAGGGCACAATCGTCGAAACGTTGTGATAACAATGATATATATATATATATATATATATATATATATATATGCGCTTGTGTGTGTATACAGGGTGCGATGGATAAATTGTCGTCTACATTACGCAAAAATGAAAATAATACTGACATCTCATTTTAACAGATATATTTACCAAAATGAGACAAAAATATATTGAAATACTAAAGAGCAAATTTATTCAATAAAATTGCCATTGGTTTTAACCACAGCTTCCAGACGACTTCAGGGCGATCTCCTTGTTTAAGTTGGCGAATACTGCCATAATCCTTACCTTCAGTTCATCTTTAGTGTTACAAGGAGTTTTGTTGGTCTCTCGCTCAACTGCGCCCCACACATAATAATCAAGGGGGTGTAGTCTGGGGAGTTAGGTGGCCAGATGTAAGGGGTGATGTGGTCGTAGAAATTGTCTGACACCTATGACTGGGTTCTCCTGCTTGTGTGGCATGGTGCAGAGTCCTGTTGACACACGTGGAGCCTTTCAGCAGCCACAATCGTTTGACACAGGACAGCGCTACCTCTTCAAGGCTGTTGATGTAGGCCTCCGTGTTGAGTCTGGCACCCTCACCAAAAAAATCGGGTATTCTTTTCTTAGAACGATCAGAGTTTCATAATCACTATTAAACTCATCTAACTCTTTCCAAATCCTCTGCACTGTCCTCAGATTGATACTCAAACACATTTGAAATGTTCGTATTGGAGCTTCCGGCGCGAATGCCAAGCAGAACAGTATGTCGTTTCCTAATTTTTGGTGGATTGAATTTCGTCATGGTGCTCTTTTTCTCATAGACGGTGCCCAACTGACCCTACTATATTGTTCAGTCGACAAAATAAAAAACAAAAAAATTAAAACTAAAAATATAAAAATGGCGACAATTTACCCCATTGTGTATATATGTGTGTGTGTATATATATATATATATATATATATATATATATATATATATATATATATATATATATATATATATATACAGATAGATAGTTTCTGAAAAACTAGGTAATCCGTATGGGTAAACCTAAGGAGGATAAAACCCAGAGAGCGCAATGTAAATCCAGAGCAAATAATTTAAATAAAACAGACCACTTTAAGGTTCCATGTAATAAATTATAATCCAATGCGAGCTCAAATTTATTACATGGAACCTTAAAGTGGTCTGTTTTATTTAAATTATATA